CACAGCTCTGGTCTCTTACCCTGTCTGTCCTCCGTCCGTCGGGGGTGCGCCTGCCCTTGGCAATGACGTCCTAGAGGACAGGCAGTACCGGCTTGCTTTCCAGTCTGAGGCTGCTCCCCATCTCTGTTACATGCTGCTAGTCCCTGAGGGTGACCTAGATGCCTTTGACATCCCGACCCCTCGCACTTAAGCTGAGGCGCGGACGATCTGACAGGGGAAGCGCATGACTAATGGCGAGCTGCGCTATAGCATCGCGAGAATCCTAGACGTCGCGAGCGAGCGCAGCAGCAGCAAAGGCCTCACTCTCAGCAGTGGTGGGGTCAGCAGAGAGGGGATCAGGCGCGGAGGGGCGAGGAAGCAAGCCATCAACATGCATAGCCAGGGAGTGCCCATCCTGGCGCTGACTTATCAGGTGCCGGCAAAGATCGACAAGCCAGGTGGCGAAGTCGATCGCGTGCCCCTCCGCGTCTAGGCGAAGTACGTCATCCGCAATCGCGCAACCTCAGCAGTGCAAGTCAATGGCGGCACAACGTCACGGCGGCATAGCGGCACGGGGACACAGTGGCACAGCGGCACAGGTACTTAGCGGCTCGGCGGCACAGCGGCGTGGCGGCAGGACTCTCCGGCGCGAAAACCGGGTGAAGGGCCGAGGAGGGCCCAAGGCGTGCAAAGCCGGCAGGGCCCTAAGGGCCGGTGAGGTGCAAAGGGCCGACAGGCACGGGAGGGGCCGGGAGGCACGTGAGGAGCTGGCGGGCGCGCGAGGGGGCCGGCGAGCGCGAAGGGCCGGCGAGGCGCGCGAGGGGCCGGCTAGGCAAGAGGGGCCGGCGGGGCGTGAGGGGTCGGCTAGGCGCGAGGGGTCGGTTAGGCGCGAGGGGCCGGCGGGGCGCTAAGGGGCCGGGACGGCGCGCTAGGGGCCGGTGGGGTGCGCGACGGGCCGGCGCGGCGCGTAAGGGGTGGCGGTACGCTAGGGGCTGGCAGGTACAGTACGCTAGGGGCCGGCGGGTACGCAAGAGGCCGGCGGGCACGCTAGGGGCCGGCGAGGTGCACTGGGGGCCGGCGGGTACGCGAGGAGCCGGGGGGTAGGCGAGGGGCCGGTGGGTACGCTAGGGGCCGGCGGTACGCTAGGGGCCGGTGGGTACGCTAGGGGCCGGCGAAGACAATAGGGGCCGACAGCCGCGCTAGGGGCCAGCGGGGCGGTAGGCTAGGGCGGGCGGAAGCGGGTGGGCGGACCTAACCTACTATGATACCATGTTACAGTACAAGAATGACTAGAAACAAGGGTGAACAAGAGAGATATAGGGTTGGAGTTGTACCCTCTAAGAACACACACCTATTCAGCCTATAACTTCTACATACAAATATATGTATAAGTTGACACTAAGATGGAGCCAAAACTCAATAATAGTCTTCGAACCACCTACATAGCATCTAGAAGTCATATCTGTCAAGGACAGAGAATGAATATGTAGGCACATGCAGGATAAGGTTTCTATATTTGTCTTGTACCCTCTACATTTGCACCTAGTTAGCCTACAATACATGTAATTATGTACGCTAACATACCCTCTAGGCTAGGTAAGGGCAGAGTCTAGCAAGAAAACAAACACAGCAAACCAGGGCAACACTAATGTCTGACCTCTATTGTATGTAACACGCAGCTCAGGGCAGCACAATCAGTCTGGCCACTGAGACAGGGGTCAAAAGCAGGGCGGACGTAAAAAAAAAAAAAAGCACTCTAATTTTGCCCCCCAAAATATTTCCCGAGTCTGAAGGGTCATTTTTCAAAATTTCGCTACTCTGAAATCTCATTGTCCAAAAGTCATGAGTCTGAAATACTCAGGGTTCAGAATGTCGACTCAAAGTCATGCGCCCAAGTCGAAATCTTGTATTTTCAGAGTTCACAGCAGGCCCGACGATTGGTTTTAGGGTACCTTGATTGCTTAGTGTCAGGTTCAAAATTTTTTTTTTCCTTCAGCCTGCTCAATTTTTTTTACGTTCATTCATCAGTGTTTGATAGCAAAAGTTTGCTTTTTCATCATGGTCGTGTACTAAAAAAACGCTGATTTGGCAACAGGGAGAGAGGATTCCACATCGTTTTTTTTTATAGTTTCATTCGACTAAGAGTAAAGTCCGCATTCTAATAGCAGTTGTTCCTATTAGGCGAAATTCTCGAGAGCTGCCCGTTTGGTCAACTGAGAGTCTAATCAAAATGAGACGGTCACGATAGATTGCGATCGTTTCAACATTTTCCAACCATTCGATGGTCGCAAGTGATTAACGTCCACGATCAATCAACCGGGATGCTGCAAGGGCGCAAAGTTTCTCCCACCGCCCAGTTCCACAGCTTCCCACCTCCCCTCCATTTCGATCCTCCCCCCTCCCCCTCCATTTTCGAATTCCCCCCCTTGCCTGCTGCTCCTTGTTCTCCCAGCAATGAAATCGTCACTGCTGGATGTGGCAATTTGGGTATGCCTACAACTATTATTAGGCAACCCTGATCGCGTTCTGTGCACCCTGAGAATTCCACGATTTCCAATTTCCAAATATTGAAAACATAGCCCTCAGGGTGAAAAATAAATTTGTAGCCGTTGACTGAGTCAGGCTAGGAATGATTTTCTCGTTACCCCTTTTAGGAACTTCACAAAAGTCGGGTAATAAGCAGGATTACGGGTTGCGTGGGTTTGTGGGAGGATTTTTTTATGGCTGCAAGGGACTTAGACAATTTTTTCGGATTGCAGGAGCTGAGGGAGGGATGTTTCTCGTTGTGGGAACTTAGCCAAAATTTCAGGGCGCAGGAGGTGTGGGAGGAATGTGCCTGACTGTGGGAACTTAGTCAAATTTCGGGGGCTGCGAGGCGTGTAGGGGAGAAATGTCACTGGGTAGGGTAGGAGGACTTAGCAAAAAGAAAATTGTTGTGACATGGTGAGGCTTGGGGTTTGGGGGGAGGGGATCATGCACCAACCAGGGGGAAACTTTGTAACTCTTGCCAGTGTTTGTTTCGGTGTCGACCCCCGTTAGTGCGCTGAGGCATCAATGTCTTGACAAAAATTTTAAGGGGAAAGGGGTGTGGGAAGAATGTCTATAGAAATGGAAGACATAGCCGATTTTTGTGGGTGTTGGGGGTGTGAGAGGGGTATCTCTAGAACAGGACTTCAACAATTCTTATGGGCTGCTGATTGTGCTGGGGGGAACTGTCTCTGGCTGCTAGGACTTAGCCGGATTTTATAGGTTGCGGGGCGGGGTGTGTTTGAAAGGACTTGACTCTGGCTGTTGGGGACTTGGACGAAATTTTTGGGTGAGGGCAGGTAGGTGCAGTACCGGTATGTCTGTCTCACGGTTCGTACGCGCTGCGCTCTGAAAACCCAGTATCAGCAAACTGCAAAGTCTGAGATTCTCAGGATAAAAAAACATATAACCCTGAAGGGTTCACCATTCAGAAAATGTCAAGTATGAAAATTCAGGATCATCCAAAAAATTGGTCTGAAATTTCAGACAATCATACTAAAATAGTCTGATAAAATCAGCCCTGGTCAGAAGGCTAGTCAGCAAGTGTAACAAGACACTCGGTATAGTTTAGCATGTCCTTCTTATTAGCAAACAAGACCGAGGCAGGCCTAGGCCGCTCACAAAAGTCAGTGAGTAGGAACGTCAGTCAACAAAATTCCTGGGCAGCCATAGCACCAGCGTAGATCATTGCCTCACATGCATACTGAGCTACAGACGACGATCGAGTGGACCGTCACGAGACGTCACCTGCACCAAGGCTGAAGCAGTAGCCCTGTGACAACCTTAGTGTCTCTAGGCCGTCTGTCCATGACGCGTCTGTATGTCCAGTAAAGACCACTGACACTCGTCCTCCCAGCACAAGCCCCAGACCTGATGTACTTGCCAGATATTGCAACGCCCTCTTGGTAGCCAACAACGCTCTGGTCGGTGTCTGCCCGTCGCAACAAAGCAAGCAGGGAGACTGAGAGGGTATGCTAGATCTAGGCGAGTGCACATCATCAGGTACATGAGACAACCCACCAGCTCTGCGTAGGGACCATTAGGCTCGACCTGCTCACCAAAAACAGGAGTTGAGAGCTCGTGGTCCACATGCAGAGGAGTAGGCTGTGGCGACGAGAACTGAAGGCCGAACCTCTTAAGGATCTGCCGCACCATTTTAAACTGAGAGAGGGTGAATGTGCACACTGCCTGGTCACGAGAGATCTCCAAGTCCAGATAGCGACTCAGCTCTCCCAGCTCTGTCAAGGCATGTCGCTTGAGCAGCTTGGCCTTCACTAAGGCCAGTGCAACACTATCTAGTGTAGCAAAGATAAGGTCGTCTACCTACACAAGGATGTAGAAGGGAGTCTGACCAGTACGGACGAAGAGTGCGGGGTCAGCAGAGGACGGAAAGAACAAGAGCGCCGCGAATGTAGTGTGGAACGTGTCGTGCCACTTACGGGGCATCTGCCGTAGGCTCTACTGGGTTCCAGGAGGGAAGGACCTAGTGAAGTCTGGTGGATGCCACAAGTTAGGGTTGAGCAAAAGGCCCGGACGGGCCGGGCCGGCCCGGACCGGTCCGGAAATTTCGCGGACCGGGCCGATACTTCGCAGTGTACCAGCCCGGTCAGGCCGGTCCGGGTTTGGCCGGCCGGGCCGGGCCGGCCCGCCGGCCCGGCTTGGCTGTGCATGTCGGGCCGGTCCGAACCGGCCTGACGAGCTGACGCTGCTGGACCGGTTCGGACCGGCCCGTCGTCGGGCCGCGTTCGCAAAGTCAGGCCGGGCCGGCTCGGTCCGGCGTGCGGGCCGTATCATGGGCCGCGCAGCTCGGTCGACGGGGAGTCAAAATTTCGACAATGAAGTCGAAATTTTGACCATTGCGAGTCATTTATACAGCAGAGAACGAGTCTCGACTTATGTAGGCGTCCATAGGCTCCTAACCCTACAATCCGTGGCAGCCACTGTCGTTTTAGTTGAGAGACAACTGCTACTCGTAATTCAGGGTAGATGTACGGACGTATTTTTCTATCGCGACGATTATAGGCTAGGAAAAGTAGCGCGCTGTTTCTCTAACCTAGAAAACGTACCCCCTCTGAAAACGCCGAGCGCCTCAGATCCGTTTTTGTGATTCGTCTTTGGCGCGTTACTCAGGTTACGAATCTCGTTACTCCACGGTGAACCTCATGTACAGTGTCGAGTTACGTGAGATTTTTTAATGTTAGTATTACAGTCTGCATAGCTGAAGATTCCGCGCGTCACTAGGCGCTAGGCGAAGTTGGTGACAGGTTTGGATCGAGGCAATGGGCGATTTTGGTGGCACGCCGCATCAGATCAAGATCGCAGGGGCGAGCACTGGAGGGGGTAGTAGTTATGGGTTTCGAGGGGCCCTCCAGCAGGTGACGCTGCCCGATGGGCAGCAGAGCTTTGCGTTGGGCTCACACATCCACCGAGGAGCGGCTGAGGAGGGAGTGGGGGAGGAGGCGATGGGAGAGCGCGGGGTTTCAAGGCAGGCGGGGGATGATGACGAAGAGTACCACATCAGTGGGGAGGAGTTGTCCGAGTCCGAGGAGTCCGGCGACGGCCGGCCAAAACAGCGTAGGCGGGGAGAAGGGAATGGGAGGAGGCCCGGAGGTGGTGGGCAGGGCAAAACCACTAGGGCAGGGAGGGCGTCGCAGAGGGGGGGGGCGAGGCACGGAGAAGGTCGTGCGGGGGGGGGAGGATCGCCGCGTGGTGGGCAGCGAGGGGGCACCCCTCTCGACGAAGCCATGGAGGGCGGTGTAGGCACGCCCGCGGCCGCTGCTGCAGGAAAGGGAGGGGGCAAAGCGGGAGCTGAGCAGGGGCGAAAGAAACGCGCGAGAAAGGCGGCAAAGGCGGCAAAGGCACGCACCACACGTTCGGCGGACGACAAGTCCTGGCCCGGCGAAGTGAGGGGTATGTTTGGGGCTTTGGACAAGGTCAACGAACAGCGCGAGTGTCGAGCATGCCGCAAGTTCATAGGGTGGGCTGACGGCAGCACGAATGCCGGGAAGCGGCACATGGAGCGCTGGCACATGCCGCATTATCAGATTTGGAAGCGGCTGTACAGGGTGGAGAACAGGGCGCCTGATCTCGAGTTTCCCTGGGATGGTTATCCGGGTGTGCCTCATAGTGGGGAGGAGTGGCCGCGGGCCACATACTGGCCGGGGTACCCACCTGGAGAGGAGGCGCCACAGGGGGAGATGGTGGAGGGGGGGCAGCAAAACATGCGCCAGTTCTACACAGCCCGAGTCTCTCCCGCCCGTCTGCGTGCAGCCCTTGTTGAGCTTTTTGCCGACGCTGACTTGGCGTACCGCCTAGTCGATCGGCCAGCGGTGAGTGCTTCAGATGCGCTGCGTGCGGTACCGCTGATAAGCCGTTATCCTCGCTTGGAGTTCCATTTGATGTGCATGCTGTTGGTGGCCTTGCATAATCCGTGTGCTCGGCCTCTCTATGCGACAGCTTACAAATCAACGCCCGCTTACGTGTGTCGGACATGTATTAAACCCTGCACACATCCCGACTGCAGTTCCATCGTTACACGGCGCTGCTGAATGCCCAGGCGGAGGCCATGCTCCCCTCGCGGTGGACGCTGGCGCGTGACATGGGTGCGACGGGTGATGCTGTCCGTGAGCTGCAGAAGCAGGATGTGTTGGGGGATGGGCTGGCGGGGAAGATGTCGTTCACCACTGACATCTGGACGAGCGTGGCCAGCCAGGCGTTCATGGTGCTGACTGGCCACTGGATCACCAGTGACTTCCAACTGCGGCAGGTGGTGATGGAGTTCGAGCAGCTGCACGGCTCGCACACTGGGGTCCTGATAGCGGAGACATTTGAGCGGGTCTTGACCGAGTGGGGCCTCGTACCCCACCTGTTCGGCGTCACCACCGACAATGCTGAGAATAATGCCAAGGCCATGCGGCTCCTCACGGGCGAGGACCCTGGCCTTGGTCGCGACCCCATCCTCAAGGAGGATCGGCACTTCCGGTGAGTGGTTGCACACATGCGTCTTTCTTGTCAGATGTACACCTTGCAATTTCGTATCCGGTGGTAACAGTGCTCATGTCTTTACCGAGTCCCCCCCACATAGGTGCCTTGGCCACGTCGTGAACATCTCGGTTCACGCGGCCATTGGCATCCCCGAGGTCGCCGAGCCCCTGCGCAAGATGCGGGACATTGCTAGCTTCATCGGCATGTCCACCCAGCGCACCGAGAGGTTCGAGGATGAGCAGCGGTGGGCGGGTGGTGATGGGGTACTCTGTCTTGTGTCGGACACGTCAACAAGGTGGAGCTCGACTTACGAGATGGTGGTGCGCGCCATCAAGTTGGAGCCGGCGCTTGCTCTCCATTTCGCGCGTGCCGAGGTACGCATGCCGCACTTAGCATGACAGTGCTCGTATTGTATGCTATGATGCTATCAGTCTCTCCACAGTGTGCATGGAATGACCCTTCCACTATTGGCCTACTCCAATGCCCGTTTTATACATAACCAACCACGCTTTTCCAACACATTTCCGCTCTTCCCGCCCCAGCCCGGTGCCAGGGCTAGCGTGCGCGAGAAGGTCTAGAGCCTTAAGCCCACCGATGCTGATTGGGAGATCCTGACAGAGTTACGTGATTTCCTCCGCCCATTCGCCCGCGTCACCACCGCGGCTGAAGGGTCCCTGTACCCGACGGCTGCAGCAGTGTTGCCCCAGTATAGCCTGCTGATGGATGAGCTGGAGGCCAGCAGCTGCAAGGCAGACCTCTCCGCCGTGCGCCGGGCGCTTACAGATCGAGCCTTGCCAGTTTTGAAGAAATACCGCTACACCACGAGCAAGGAGCTGTTCATTGCCACCTTCCTGGATCCCCGCTTTAAGCATCTCTATTTCAGGATCAAGAGGTGGGAGGCGAAGAACCCACATCTGGCCATGGAGGTGGGGGGGAAGGCGAGGGCGGTCCCAGACATCGACGAGGCAGCGGTCCTGAAGCTGGTGCGCGATAGGCTTAGCGGGTACCACCAGGAGTTGAGGTCCCGCGATACCAACACGGGGACGAGCCGACACGCACCAGTTGGTGCGGGGGTAGAGGTGGAGGGGGGGACTGGACCAGCTGCGGGGGGGGATGACGGCCTTGATGATGGACTGTTCAGTACACTGGATGAGCTGGAGGCGGAGGCGGGGTCGCAGCAGCTGGACGAGGTGGACACATACATTAGGGAGGCGAAGGAGCCGCGGGACTCCTGCCCGCTAGCCTATTGGCGTGACAGGCACTACCTCCCCGGGTTGAGGGCGATGGCTCGGGACTACCTAGCTATCCCAGCCTCGTCCGCAGCAAGTGAGCGAGCTTTAAGCCAGAGTCGGAATATCATTACTTGGCAGAGGCATCGACTGACAGGCCCTCACGTGCGTGCGACCATGACTATCAAGTCATGGCTTTCGCAGAACACGGGGGTGCCGCCCTTGGATGCCAAGACTCTGAAGGCAACTGGAGGAGGAGTGTGCCTTGAGGGGGATGATGAGGGGCTTTGAGTGGGATTGAGGGTGGCGCTGCAGGTTGGGATTGGATTAGACATTATCACGTCTCTCCAAGGACCCGCCAATGATCCAATGGGCCCTCATGCATACTATATTTATTAGGTTTGATAACGCGCATTTAGGGGACCATGAGACACGTTACAAGGGGCCACAACCAGCTAGGAAATCTGTCGGAGCAATGCACAACATCCCCCCATCAAAACCCCACCCGAAACAGTCAAAAAGGGGTCCCGGATTTGCTGGCCCGGTTTAGGCCCGTTTTTATGACGGGCCGGACCGGTCCGTCCACCGGGCCAAGGTCGGCCTGGGTCTAGAGGCCCGGTCCGGGCCAGCAAATCCGGAACTCCGGCCCGGGACGGGCCGAGCCGGCCCGGCTCGGTTTCTACCCGAGCCGACCCAAAACCGGGCCGGGCCGGGCCGGGCCGGTCCTTTGCTCATGCCTACCACAAGTAGATCTGCTCGTGTTTCTGCCCTGCAAGAGGGCTGTCGAGAAGTTCAGAGAGTGGAGCTTAAAGTCACGCTATGCGGCTATGTGGAGGAGCACCCGAAGAGTAGTTATCATTAGGGTGGGGGAGAAGGTCTGGAAGAAGTCTACACCCTCATGCTGGCTGAAGCCTCTGGCCACATACCACGCCTTGTATTGCGGTGACTCTCCAGGTGGGCACTTCACCTTATAGATCCACATGCCATCGACAAAAATTTTCCCATAGGGAGGAACCACGTCGACATAAGTGCTAGTGGATCTATAAGATGCCATCTTTGCCTCCATGGCCTGCATCCATTGGGCTGCCCAGGAACCCGAGACCACCTCAGCGTACAAGCGTGCAGTAAGGATGTCCAGGGCGTCTGAGCCACCCACAGGGGACACTAGAATGGCACAGGGATGAGGTACAACAGCCGCAAGTAAAGCCAGTTCGTAATGCCTATCATCTAGAATGTCATTGCTAAGAGCATGTGCACCCCCGACAAACAGAGGATGGGCAAGGTCAGAGACCAGAGCTGAGGCGTAGTCAAGGCGGTGGCTCGCAGCAAAGTCAATGACAGCAACGTTGAGGGCAGAGATACCAGCAGGAGGAGCCGTAGGGTCCGTAACAAGAGACGCAAGCAAGCGGGAGATGACTGGACCAGCAGTGGGAGCAGCGTCAGGGGGAGGAGCAGAGGACATGGGTATGGATGACTAGGGAGGTCAAGGCAGGACGGGGACTTGAGGAGCACGAGAACGAAGGACCATAGGGTGGACACGACCAGGAGGAGAGATTGGAAAACCACTAGGGGGACGACACACCCACGAGTGGGATACAGGGGATAGCCGGACAGGACAGCCGGATAGGGGAGGGCTGTGGTGTTGCGGACGACTTTTGCAGGCGAGTTTGCAAGGGAGACTGACACCGGTGCGGAAACCAGTGTGAGAGCAGTGCTTCTACGGAAGAACCTAGACTAGACTACACACAACAGAGGATCCTCAACTATACACAGCAGAGGGCTGCTGCCGCAGTAGGGGCCGACGGGGAGCCTAGACTACACACAACAGAGGATCCTAAACTACACACAGCATAGGATTCTAGAATAAACACAGCAGAGGATCCTAGACTACACACAATAGGATTGCATGAGTCAGCAACACTATAATCATTAGAATACAGAAAAAAACATGGCAGAGCCTATCTGAGCCATCTCTAAATCTAACTCTGGGATGCGGCGACAGATCAGGGCAAGCCAGTCCGGAGGGGCCGCCAGGGGCCCAAAGTGGCCATGGAATAGGTCGTCCAGGCAACGCAAGCAGCGGGCAGCGGTGTGGTCCGTGCGCCCACAAACCGTGCCGCTCAAGGGGCCGGCCTGGATCTGTTATACACAGTGCACATGACTCCCAAGCCCCACACCTCCCTGGACAATAGAGGATCCATGCGAACCCCAGGGCACCGACTGCCCTAGGGCCCAACCACCATGGCACGCACCATGCCCAACACTCCCAGTACGCTCCTACTGCTGCGATCGCGGACGCTGTTGCTGCGGCTGCTATGGCGGCTGCTGCCGTTGAGGATGTTGCGTCTGCTACTGCTGCTGTGACTGCTGCTGCTTTCCCTCCTCTTCCATACCTGCCCCTCCACCTGCCCAGCGCCCCGCCAGCGCCCCCACGTCCGCCGCTGCCGATGCCCCATGACCACGGGGGCGTCGCAAGTGCCTAGCTGAGCGGTCGGGTGCTGTGACCGCTACAGCGGTCTCAGCAACAGAGGCAAAGGTAGTAGGAACAAGGAGCTCGGTTGGAGGGCAACCTTGAAAGGTAGGGGCTGCCACTGCGCCAGTGGTCTGAGGGATGGCACGGAGGCAGGTCTCTATCTCCGTCAGGGAGGAGGAAAAGAGGTCTACAGTGAGCTAAGTGGGGTGCTGTGCGAGGAGGGCATCACGCGTAAGGGCGAGGCGGTCAGGGAGGTGGGTGGTGAGGAGGTAAAGGGGGAGGTGGGTGGTGAGGAGGTAAAGAGGGAGGTGGGTGGGGCGTGCTTGGCGAGCTGGGCCTCGGTGCACGCTGCAGATGCGAGACGAGGTCCGCGACCATGGAGGAGAGGCCAGGTCCAGGAAGAGGAACGGGAGGAGGAGGCGACCGAGGGTGGCAGAGGATGCGGTCGCGTAATGAGCAACAAGTGTGTGCCACAGGTCTTGAGCCATCTCCTCCGACCAAAGTGGGAGTGCTCGTCGACCGGCAGGCACCGGGCGATAGCAACCTGCGCGGCGGCGTCGCGAGAGTCCCAGACGGAGCGGGCAGTCTGGGCAGCCTCGAACTCCGCACGTTGCACCAATGCCTCAGGGCCAAGGGGATCAAAGGGGGGGGGGGGGGGGGGGGGGGGCAGGCAGCTCACCAGTGACGTGGGCCGCCAGCGACTTGCCCTCCACATGCTGGCTCGGCAGCTGGTGGCGGAGAGAGGTAAGCCAGACCAAGATGCCCATTGCGCATCCTTCGGCATCCAGCCGAAGGACGAACACCGATGCCGAAGTGGTTATCATGTTTGCAGAAGAACCAGGTGCCAGATGTACCCGAACAGGGGCTGATGCTGGAAGAGGCGGCGGACGGCGGCAGATCCGACAGCAGCGGCAGCGGGTCCAGCGACAGGGCCGGCGGCAGGTCCGGCAGTACATCTGGTGGCTGGCAACGAGCGGCAAGCTGCGGTGCAGATGACAATGGCGCTAGTGGCCGCGACTATGGCAGCAATGCGGTGCCGGCAGCTGCGACTGCGGGGCGGGCAGCTGGGGCTGCGGGTGCAGCAGCGGCGGTGGCTGCTCTAGCGGCTGTGGCAGCGTGACTGGCAGCCACGGCTTGCTGGCGGCATGCGAGCGGGCAAGCAGCGGGATAGCGAGGAGCGGGCAATGAACTGGCTGGCAGTGTGCAAGCAGTGGGAGGCGAGCGGGCTGGCGGCGCGCAAGCGAGCAGGCAGCAGGTGGCGGGCCGCGGGTGGCGAGCTGGCTGGCGGCGGGCAGTGGGCGGTGGGCGGCGAGCTTCCTGGCGGTGAGCGAGCATGCAGGCGGAAGGCAACGAGCTGGGGGCGGCGAGCTAACGGGCGGCGTGCGTAGGCGGCGAGCGGTGGGCAGCGCACAACGGGCAGCGCGAGCAGCAGCAGCCAGTGGTAGCGGGCGGCCAGCGGGCAGCGCGAGCACGAGCGGCAGAGGGCGGCCAGCGACAGCAGTCAGCGCGAGCGCGAGCGTAGCGAGCTAGGGCTAGGGCTAAGGCGAAGGCTAGGGCAACAGGCTAGGGCAAGAGAGGAGCGGGGAGTACCTAGGTCGGAAGCGCGGAGGCGAGGACCTAACCTAGCGATGACACCATGTCAAGGAGAGAGAATGAATGAGTAGGCACATGCAGGACAAGGTTAATATATTTGTGTTGTACCCTCTATAGTCTGCACCTATAGTAGCCTACATTACATGCAAATATGTATGTTAACAATAGCACCTAGGAATTTGGGCATGACCCATGCTTGGTTGGGAACGATGCAATCCAAAAGTGAGATCCAACCAAAAGGGTTTTGGGGGGGTGACTCTACCAACCACCCCAATCTAACACAGCCAAAGCACTCAAATTATTACTATAATATTGTCCTAACATAAAAATCATGTTTATTGGAGCAACCCATATTGATACATACCAATACCCCCACTACTTGCTCCAAGAAGCAGTGAACACAACACTCCATTCAAAACACAACTCCTTCAGCTAGTGAGGCCTTGGCCACTTCAGCCTTCAGCCAGGGCTCAAAATTGGTTTATAGGCACCCTTGGTAATCAGTGTACCTCAAAGAATTTGCCGTCTCCTAGGGTAAAAACTTCGGCACCCTTTGAAAATATGGGTATCATAAAAAAAAAACATGCATACAGAAGTTATCACCCTTTCCTGCACATTAATTATTGTTGCTACAGTTTCAAGTTCTAGACATGCATACAAGCGCATTGTCACTAACTAGAACACATCATCGACTGCATATGCTACTAGTGCTACTTGTGCTATTCCTGCGATTTCAAATACTCTCACTGTAGCTACCTTCGGGACTTGTGGTACTTGTTCCACCAATGCTCCTCTATCTACCGCTACTGCTATTCATGGCTCACTTAGCAGACCCACTCGCCTCTGCTCCCACTAAGTTGGGAGCAGTAGAGGGAGTTGCATTCTCTGGCTCAGCAAACTGCGCCACGCTGGGGATGGTGCCGGTGAAGACTTAAATAGTGCGGCGGGGTTCTCACCATAAAAGATTGCCACCACATCGAACAA